AAGTATCAAAATCTATTGAGCTAATGTTTACAGGTGTATGTATCATATAGAATAGTAATACCTAATAGTATCAGAAGCGAATTATCTAAGTGTTTAAATATTTTAGGATTAATTGCTTAAAGGTTTTTAGAAGTCTACGATTCTGGTATCTACAAATACTAGACTTGCTTGGGAGCAAAGTGTCGATCGGCAAAATTGTAAGGTTTCAATATTTTACATGAAGAAGCGTCTGAGGCCATTACAACATCGCGTCCACCACCGATACTTAAGATATCTTAACTATACAATCATTAGTTGATTATTGCATTTTTTTTTTAATTTAATATAAAAAACCAAGAAAAAATTGATTTTGAAACCACACCTATGATGATTTTTTTGTTATTGTAAGCAACTCACTGTTAAAAATCAGAACGTTGATAGAAATTGATTTGAATGTACAGTCAAGTAATGTGTTGGCAGCATGTCACGTGTGCGGTAGTCACTATACACAGGCGTGCGAGGAGAGGTTTGCGGGCAGCGGGGAGAGATGATCCCGTCCCCCCCCTCAGGTCGCCAACTATAGATATCTATAGCCGGCGTGTTTGCCCTATCCCACTATTAATTACAATACTAAGATATAGAAAAGAAAATGTGTTGCTGTGTATTGAACAATAGTCATGTTTATTTACTTGAATGATTCTTGTAGCTAGTAACTTTATAGATACCAGGATTAGGATAAATTGAATTACATCATGTAATACGTTAAGAGTTATTATATACACTCCGCTGTGAAAGAGATTTTGATGCCATACGCCATTTCCAAGTGTATCAACCATGTTCCACACAACTGCCTAGTTCATATAAATCACACTCGACTTAGTCGCTATCATTTGAGACCCATGTTCCGTCTTCGCTAATACATTCAACATCGTATAAACATCAGTTCATTGTTTTTGAGAAATATTAACAATAATTGCATGATTAACTATGAGACTGGTTTTACGTACAAATTTAGACTTTATTTTTAACTTTGTAAGGCTCACTTTTCACCACACATCATAGGAATGGAAATTATTATGGAAACCAAAATTATGCCATTGTATATTACATGATTATTAAAAGCTGCAGCCAGATGTTTCCTTCTGGCTGGTTTATAGGCTTTTTTATCAAAGAGCGGATCAACCGACTATGTATAGCAGTGGACTACTAAAGGCCGTTGATGAATGCATGAGACATTTAATAAAGATTTTATTGATTGATTGAGCGGATTGATTAATTAGATTGTGTGTGTAACATATATATGATATATGAGTATTTAAAACCAGTCTCATCTCAATTTGAGTATAGTATTAACATAAATACAATGCATTACAAATTCAAAATTTACAGTTCTAAATTAGGGTTGCCTTCGTAATAACTGGAAATGTAAATTATTGAGTAATTCATAGTGCAGAAGTCTAAGAAGCTACAGCACCTTAAGTTGATTATGATTTTAGGTTTGATATAATCCTGTAATATTCAGATGTTAGTCAACCTTTGGTATCAATACAATTAATTGCTTTTAAAATAATGAACCAGTCTAAATCTCATCATGTAGGTACCAAATTCTTTAACAATAAGTGAGGGAGGGATTCTATCGTGATTAAAAACCCAGCTCTGGGGGTAGTTTTAAAAATGTTATATTTTAAGAACAAATTTTGCGCGGCAGTGTTGACATCATATTGTTAGGTATGATTTTTTCCAAGTGGCAACACTGTGTACCACACAATGGCACTTATAAATGCAAAATTTATCACTGACAATGGGAATTAATCCGTAGTTCATTTCTAACCAATTAGAACATTACATTTATGAAATTTATTAAAACTAAAAATACTAAGGAAATGATATACATAGTAAAATTAAGAGGTATTTACACATTTAGCCTCAATTATCCGAACCATAAAAATGTACACATAATAAATAGATAACTTCTATTTAAACTCTCACGTAAATAAACAAATACTTGTAGACCATCTCAAAATAAATATGCTAAAGCTTATGAAACTTACAACTAAATGAGTATAATAATTATTATTATTATGATCGAAATTATGCGTTGTACTTAAAATTACAATTAAAATCAGATCATTCCCTCATATGCACAAAAGCAAGTGCTAAAAAAATTTACATTTAAAAAAAATATCAAAAGGCTTCGTCAGAATTTTGTGCCCCACTTTGATTAAAAATCTTGTATATTGTACAAAACGTTTTACAATAATAATACGTGGTAGAAGCTAGTGAAATTATACGTCTTTGTATTAAATTGTGCCAAGGGACGGAATAACCGTACAAATAGAACACCACAAAGTTGCCAGCGCAAAAAAAAAATGTGTTTCGTACAAAAATTTCGTTTTATAAAAGCAGTATTTCGCAAGATATACTTACATTCGTTGCTGTTTACAGCCTAACAATTTTTACACTTTAATCACAGATTACAAAACGATTTTTTCTAACAATGGTTATTTATGTACATTTTTACTCCCAGAAGGGATTTATACAGTCTTCACAAAGCAAAGGCTGTGTGAATCTCAGCTTGTGGCACCCTATAAGAGCAATCTCATTGTAACTACACCTATTCGATACAGCGATAGCCGACACATACACTAGGGACGTTAAGACACACAATTTTGCTATTATAATTCCTTTAAAATCCAATACCCGTATCTGAAACTACCCGAAATTTTCGGAAAATAATGTTATATCCGAAACCGTTATGATTGCGTGTGTGCGTGTGCGTGTGCTCCAGAACGCTTGACTTGTTGTTAAAGTGCCCCCGACAGTCCGAAACTAACACAATTTTCAGGTATAATATTATCAGTCGTGAACTGAAATTTCATAGCCATAACATCCCTAGTATACACCACTAACACTACTGGCTTGGCACTTCTACACATATTGAGACTCAAAATACGCTCGCGATCCTTTTCATTCAGAATTGATAGAAATTCAGAAAAGAAACGAATTGAATTTCGAATGTAAAAAATTTTCATTTCGATGTTAGGATCGGTGAAAAGGTTTAAAGAATAAGTGTATTGGCAGTGTGTCCAAAATCATTGCACATTTACACTTAGCACACCGGTAACCGTATTTACATTTAAGTGTTGGTACGGTTAGCGTACGTTATGTACGTGTTTACAAGCTTGGTATTCATCTCACATTCACTTTAACAACAACTATAAAAATATAACTCATCAAGAACTCGCCACACAGATTTCGTCGCTACCGACTTAACTGGACAAATGTTGATAAATGATTTCTTGTAATGTCAGTCTATTTGTAGTTAAAAATGAAATTCTTTATTTATGTCTTTCTATTGCAAGAAACGAAGAAGTATTTCTTGGAGCATTAATTTTTTTTGTACTTTTTTTGTCACAATCTATCTCTATATTCTATCCTGAGTGACAAGTTAGTCGGTCAATAGACTATAGATAGATGTCATTGGAATTCTACAAAACATAATATGTTGGAAAACCCATTATTATGTCAGACACATATGCCGGTTTTAATTTAAATAAATAATAAATAGTTACATCATTAACTGTAAATAAAGATATAACGATTCAATTAGCATTATTGATTGCTTCCTGTTCACATTACATATTAAACAGTTACACTAATTAAAAATGATAAAAAAAAAGATAATTTAATCTTTAAAAATAAACTAAAAAATAATTTTTGTTTATTTTTCTGTGGGTATAAAAATTTAAAACCAAAATAGAATTTATAAATATTTATACATTTTCTGTCTCATTAAATTATAATTCCTCATTTAAAAAACTAAACCTGTTAACCACTGTTGTTAAAAACTGGTTTAGTTTATTATATTTCATCAAGATGAACAGTAATAAATAAAACCGGAACGTCAAGACACTCTTAATTACCGATATTGATTGTCCTACTAATGCAGCGTGAGATTAAAAAATCTCTGTACTATCATTGTACCTTGACATATAAAAATAACAAAAATCGGTGTACATACATAAATAAAAGTCGGTATAAAGGATTATAGGTGTCGAGCTCTCGCAAAGTTATATTCGTTATATACACATTTGCAGTTAAAATGTAACGTTATTTCACTTTCCTATACTTAGAAACTTGGGAATTTTCTTCATCAGAACCTTCCCACCAGAATCTTTTTTCTAATACCACTAAGTAGACCGCGAGCGTTCTAATTAAATGTGATAATATAATTTATAACATGTATAAAAACCAGTCGTCCCTGGCATATTGTACTTATCTACTAGTTATAATGCATTTTCTATATTTCAAATAAATAGAATCATATTGCAAACAATTATTTTAACATGAAATAATTAATGAATATACAAATGTGTGTTAATTTTTTACACCTCGTCATGTATTTGTAATCGCCAAATTTACTAAATTCCATTTAATTCTAACTTTTTCGTAAGTGCAGCTGTGAAAAGTTTCGATATCTCTTTTCTTTGCACTCCTGAGGTGGCAAACAAGCACAGTCTTCAACTTTCTTTTTAACAATCGCAACAAGATAGTGTACTGTGCCAAAATTGCCAAATCTGTAATGACCTAGTTCTAACAGGACCAGTTGATCTGCAGGTATTTATCAGTTTTATAAAAACATTGTTTACAAATGATTTATTTTTTATGAAATAGTTTTACGAAAACGTTTACGAAATACTGCGATATCGTTCAACGGACGAAGAAACCATACCGTGAACAGTGATCATAATAACGTCCATTTCGTGCAAAATCTACATTTTTGGTCATAAATATACTGATATACAAATTTTATAATTACAATACATTAATCTAAGGTACATAGTTTTACCAAAAACCAATACATTTGGTAATAAATACATGTCATATACATTTACTCAGCCATCTGGATTATATCCTTTGTCTTTTCAAATGTGCTTCACACATAGCAGGGAGGGAAACACAAAAATGGAAATCGAATGTTCTAGAATATTCCCAATATATATCACAGTGTTCTAATTTCGTCACTGCAACATTAGAGACTCTAGGTTGCGATTGAGAATCGTGTCTTTAACGGAGTTGAAGACGACTTCAATGTTATGTGTGTCAATGGCGGTTGTAAAGTGGTGGTACAATGTCGTTTTGGGTTCCCTCCGAACGTTCGCGAACATGTTGAGCAGGAACATTTGCACGTCTCGCAGGTTGTGAGGGTCGCCAGTGAATTGTGGGTAATACCAACGTATGTCTGTCTCTTTGCTGCCGACTTTCCTCGCGAGTAAGTCGGACTTGTTGAGGAATAGAATAACGGAGATACCTTTGAAGTTCACATTATTGACAATCGTGTCGAAGATATTGAGGGCCTCTTCTAGGCGATTTGTTTTTCTGGAATAAGAGAAAGATGGAAGATTAGTGTTTAGTGGCACGTATACATTTGTGCTAGTCTCAGTTGTTAATGAATCAATTATTCACTTAGTATCTATTATAAGCTATAAAGGCCTAGGTTTTCACCACAATTATGAATAAAAACTCTTTTTTTGGTAATATTTATTAGCTATCATCATCATCGTAATAGAAGACCTTTCAAATACGACATTAATAAACCGTTGTCCTTAAACAAATAAACGTTAATGAACCTGCTGTACCCGTACTCCGTATCGTCCATCGCCACCCCTATACTATCTTTGATCATTCCTAGAACGTCTTTTGTGCCTCAATCATGTTCTAGTCAGTAGTGTTGTTTGCTTCCAATGCTTCGTTCCCCGTTATACTACTGTGTTTTTTTTTTAAATATCATTCATGAAAAAGGCATTTACGACTCAGTTATTCTCATGAGCTCGGACGCAACAGACATACGAACGAATACCTAATATTTTTGCAACCTGGTTATTTCGCCCATTGTTAGATGATATACACGTATGTAGTAAATACAATGATACATATAATGACTAACGGCCTTGGCCTCTCGGATGTTGAATTGGTAGTGATTCGTTCGGATAATTTATGAATTCAAATATCTATACCTAGAATAGGTTAAGGAAAATCTTTATATGTTTTGTTACCTTTGTAGTTTATTAATGAGTTATACTCATTTATAAACTACAAAGGTAACAAAACAAAGCAAACTTCATATTGACAATACGTAAAGTTCTTTTAACTGCTGCATATTTTGGAGGGGTTACCTTTATCTGTCTACAATAACACGTAACCGTAAAACCAACATTTTCACCTTGGATTGGTGACTTTAGAGGTCAATATTTGCGTAATTTGGGTTTCCAAATGAAATTCTTTCCTCTCTTCAATTTCGGGTTCAAAAGTATGCAAACTCATTTGAAAATTGCCCTTGACCTTTCAGATAACCTTCAAGGTTGTGATCAAGGTCAATTTCAAGGTCGAATAGATAGCCAGGGAAAATTCTTGTAACTTTTATGTTTAACGTATTTCCAAAAATGCATCCCTAGCGAATTGTTCCGGTACTTTTCTAACACCGGGTATAATCATTTTCAAAAGAGTTTTTAATAGTCGAAAATATAGGTCAGTTAAACCCTAAAAACTACAAAAAAGGCGTTTTGGTAACGACATTATATTTGTAATTATTTTCTTTGTTTAGGTCGATGTATATTTTTCTCTATGGTAGATTAAAAATCTTGTAGGTGGAAAAAATTAAGGCTTAAATTTTCCGACAAATATTTAAAATGTTCCTAGCTACAATTCTGCATCACTCGTTTAACAAACTGTGAGAGATCTATAAAGACTAAATAAAACCTGCTCTATTTAGTCACCATAGATCAAGATATAGATAGTCTGTATCGATGTTTAGGTAGAACGTTTACATTACGTGCGAATTCTTAAAAACAACATCAAAGGAATACATCCGGTGGACCGAATATACTCGAACTAAATATTTTAGGGCCGCTATCAAAATTTATTAAGAAAATTACGCGGTTAAAACGAATATGTTACATTTGTTAAGAATTAACCTATTGATTTGACTTCAATTTGCATTATGGTCCAAAGTCGCAAAGCTTTGAGTTAATCGTTAAACCGCTGTTTAGAATCATACTTCGAGTTTTAATAAAGCACGCTCTAAAATATTGTGCCAATCTTTAAAAACAAAATTCGAAAGATGAACAAGGAGTTATTAACCCTTTCACATTCACAAAACCTTTATGAATTACACACTTGAATCTCTCTCGTGCATTACTCTATCCATTGGTAAAAACTTTATGGTTTTATACTTTTGAAGTTTTAGCTGTTTAAACAGACATACATACTTTATTTTTAGTAGGTATTGCCATAACTTTAATAACCTGACACATCTCACACACGGCTGTCTGACTCCAAACTACTACCCCAAACTGTGGTATGGTGGCCAGACTGTAAATAAACATACTTATATATTTCTAAATACGTATATGCATGAAATATATACATTTAATTTTAGTAATATCAAGGGCGAAAGATACCGAGGGCAAAGGTATGTCAAAAGATAACTCATGTCTTACAAGGCCTCGCCCCAATTTTCAAGATGTACCAGACATCCCGAAAAACAAACAAAAAGTTTCCTCAATAAATAAACAAACACGCTGCACGCTCTCGTCCAACCGCAGACCGCATCTCACACGTACGTAGCGCCACATACACTGCGTTTACATTAATGTATAATTAGATAATGATTTATTACCATCAATTTTTACGACACGAATAAAAATAAACGGCTCGAATTTTAGAACTTACATTATACGGTTCTCATTTTACTGGCGCAAAAATCTTTGCTGACTTGCAACCTTAAGTAACGATGCTAACCAAACAAACTTTAAATCAATTTTTTGAACACATACATATAACATAATATTCAAATAGTCATTAATACTTGGAAAATTAATTTGTACCAGGTTACATCGTTTTCGTCAAATAAAAAAATAACTAAATTAAACAAAGCTACAACAAGAAATAAGAATCATGTACATAATTAAATTCATTTGTACATTAAGTCGATTTATCACTTTATTATTTTCATTACTGTCCTTCAAATGTAAAAGTATCTTTGCTTTTATGGTCCGCTACGAAGGTCTATAAAAGCCGTGAGGTAACAGCCTATAACCTGCCTGACGAATACTCTATACAATTCAAAAATAATAATACTGATTAATAATTCTAGAGTTTAACGCGTTTAAACAAAGAAATGAACGAACAATCAAGCACTTGTCAGATTTATTATTTATTAGTATAGATTCTACAGTCTAACTTAATTTTCTACCATTTTAAAAACCTGATATATTAACTTAATAGGATAATTTTTGAAAATAAATAATCTAAAATAATCTCTGTACCTCTTACAACTGTACTTAGCTATTTATACTAGCTAATCACTAAACGAAAGCAATGAATGAGTATTGTTTAATAAATAAGGTCATGCTTTATATTCACATAGCTGTCCTAAACTTTGACGAAACTAGGTTAAATAAGACACACACGCAACACGCCATCGATATCGGTCACAAACGGTTTTGTAAATGTCTCGTCTCACGAACATGAGACTTAACTCGCAACTAAATTTTATCTACAATAAAATTTTATCTACAATACGAAGAAATAAACTAGAAACTATCAAAGGAAATTTATTTATGAGACGAAACGCTAAATGTGGGAATATATGTCTAAAACAAAGTGTTACAGGCGTCAATAACGACTTTTCAATGTTATAGGAAACACCCATTAGGCTCACGTTGCGAATTGCCATTAAATACGTAATAATATATTCTACTATACATACAAAAAGCGAAAAAGGAGGTATTTATCCCTTTTTGAACAAAAAGAATAGAACATATCATTTTATGGAAATATTTCATGTTCGTAGGCAGAAGTGCAGAAAGGTAAAAGGTAAAAGGGTTTTAAACATTATGTGATATTTTTCCTCCAAGCTTTTCTCCCTAAACTATGTATGGGTAGTCTACTACGATCCAGTTGATCTTCGATTTTTACGCGGAGCGACTACCATCAGACCTCTGCAACCCAAGTACTAGGGATATCGAAGTTCTGTAGAAAGACTGGACTTTTTATGTAAGAGTACCAACAACCCGTAACGATTGCCACAGATGTCCGTATGGCCACCACTCTCCCAAGCACGGAGGGCTGTCAGTCAATGTATGTAGAATGGTCACCCATCCATAGACTGACCTGGCTAGAATTGCTAAACTTTTTAATGTGTTAATCTACTCGGTTACCACTTAGCAACGAGCCTCTCCTTAAATATAAAAGCTGTAAAGTAAACAGTTATGTAAAAACGGCTAATAACAGGGGTCCAATATATTCATGACTTGTAGTATAAAATCAATGACATTTCAATTTATACTGGTCATTGGAATTAATCAAGACAATAAAAAAAATTCGCCATTTTTATACATATTAGACATGTAACTCTGTACATGACATGTAACTATAGGTACTTAATCACGATGTACCTATATATATATAAGGTACAACATGTTTTTGTTTAGTAACTGAAGTTCAGTACTTTCGATCGAAATTTACCGATCTTCCACCGTTAATCACGCTTGGTAAATAATATTATAATAATAATAATAGTATCGAAAATATTTTCACCATTAAGTCTGACTTATTGAGTTACACAAATAATGTGTCAAAAATCGCAAAAGTAGTAATTTATCCCTATTTAATTTCTAATATTATGCCTATAATACCATACACTTTACACTTCCGCTACACATGTATCTAGAATGATTACGACATTCTTAAAAATCTAATATTATAACTCAACATTTGTTTAATTTATAACATACACATATAACAAATTAAGTACAGTTTCGAGTGAATTAAAAGTTACATATTGCACTCACATTGTAAGCAAAACAGCTCGTTATGTATGTACACATTTACATAATCTTAAAATTTCACATCGCGGACATTTCTTAGAGCATTCCTTTCTTAGACCAGAAATAAAATCCTGTAAAAGATCTGGATTTTTGGATTTTATATTTTTGTCTTTTGTGTCACCAATTTGATTTGATCACAAATTACTATGGATTAAATAAATTCAAATAATACATTTAGCACGATGAAGATGCGCTTGGTATACATTAATCATTTGAAATGGGATTAAATATAATATAATAGGCACCAAAAAATAATATGCAACCCGAAACTAAGAAAGTCTAAAATTCTTCAATGGTTTCTAGCTGTTTTAGTCATTACTGCACTTTAAATTGTATTCGAACATCAAATGCGACTATCGACTAGTGGTTAGCATAGTGGTTTAAGCAGTCGCCATGCTGCTTACTACTACGCTCAGTGTTGTAGGTCCGATCCCCACATGGGACGACACTTTGTGTGATCCAGAAATTGTTGTTCTGAGTCTGAGTGTTCTTTGTGTCCGTTTCATGTATGTTTATAAAGTCCCCCGCAACACAGGATTTATTCTTTGTCACTTGTAGGGAGTTGTCTTTTAAAAAATAAAGAAAAAAAAATGTAGTAAGTTATCACCAAATCTCAGCGAGCAAACTAATGCACTATTAGGAACATTTGATTTTGATTAGGTTTTAGTTATTTCTTTTTAAACCACCCGGAAAGTAGGTACGGCACTTTTTTCCAGTGTTACATGTAACATGTACAACATATAATATGTAACTTTCGTACATCCGTGTAAAATGTTTTTAAAAATTTTGGTGATAAATTACTATTTTTGAGGTTAACTATGTTAAATTTTGTTTGCGAGTCATTTACTTTAATAGGAGAGCAAAATTTAATTGTTTTTACTGTATCTCAACCAAATAATAAACTTTATGTCAAAAACAGTTTTTAAGAGCATTGTAATGCTTTTCTAGCTAGTTCAGTTACTAAAGCTGTGGATGCGTTAGCTGATGATTCTTTCATTTGAATCTCCTAACTACTCATACGGCACTAGCAGTTAGACTATTGTTCTAATTGTTTTAGTTCTAATTGGTAGTTGACTGTATCATTGATAAATAACAATGTCCGCTTCATTAAAACAAATATCACAAAACATCTCGGCAAATATAATATTCTTGCTTTTTATAACTATTACGAATTTAAATCAAATAAACATTTAAATATATTATTCAATTGAGTAGTCTTAAATAGTGACGTCATTTTACATATCTTTTACTTTTTTAGTAACTATTTTAGTAACTTTTTTAGTAAGATAAAAAGTAACTAATTGGACTAAGGTGTCAACTACCCTTTTTTTTTCTCGGATACCACCTACCGGTGGCTATGTCGGACTCGAACCGACTAAAAACCTCACGCCGTCTCGGGCACCAGTAGCCGGGGAACCAGGTGTACCCTAGAAAGGAAATCCCTGGTACCGGTGTCAACTACCCTATTGGTTAGCTGAATAAGAAACTAAGGGAAAGTATAAGATTAAGGTGAGTGAGGAAAAAGGCATGCCTACTTCCTTTTAGTGGTTAAAAAAAGTAACATGTTGATATTGCAATGTTATGTAACTGAATATGAACATTACACAGGTCACGAACAACTACATTTTTTTTCGTAACCAAAATTACATAACCTCTAAATTACGGATGTTAGATCATAGATAAGATAAATTATTATCTTTAGTTATGTTTACATTATAATACACAGGTACGGTGATTCAGGTACTACGAAGCTTGTTTCGGCTTCAGGAAAATTTCATTCATAATGTAAGCAGTTCCAATGACGTACGTGCCTAATTGAGTACACTGTGGGTTGCATATAAATCCTGTTTTAGACGAAAGCTTTTGATACTACGTGATCCAAATCTTGTCCTAACATGTTCGTTTAGTGTTTAGCTTATTTCTCTTGTTTTAGCCTAATAATTAGAAATGGCAACTAATTAAAAAAATTTTTTAAAGATTTGATATTTATGGCTTCTGAAGTTCAACAATTATTTTAATGTCGTTCTTATTATAAAATAAACTAGCTGACCCGGCAAACGTTGTATTGCAAAACAAAAAAAAATTAGGGATGGGTCACCCTTACCATTTAGGGGTATGAAAAATAGATGTTGGCCGATTCTCAGACCTACCCGATGTGCACACAAAATTTCATGAGAATCGGTCAAGCCGTTTCAGAGGAGTACGGGAACGAACATTGTGACACGAGAATTTTATATATAAGATTAAAAATTATTAATTGACAATGATGACCTATATGATAATTTTAAGATGCGGCTGTTTTTTTATGAATTTTAACCTCGGAACTCCGTCGTTTACAAACTTTGCTTATGCAATTTACTTTTTTATTTATCTTCAGTGTGTCTTCAATAAAAATATTAGTCACTATCCTACAAAGACCGTTTCCAGGATTTTTAATAATATCCTCAACTATGCCACTCCAAATAACCGTGATCATCTCAGAATTATAACCTTCTGTACTTCTGTTGTAAAACAATATTTTAACAACTGCAGCCCCCTCAAAAATAAATTGAAACTATCTTTTACTTGAGAATAACCACAAAAGGAACAAAAAAAAACCGTAATCCGTGTGAGGAAAAAAAAAACGTAACTGTAGCAAGGCGGATATGTATAAACTGTTTATTCAATAAACGAACGAAGGCGCTTGCGCACCTAGCTAAACACATCTATACCGATGTACTATAACATATTACAGTAACATATTATATTTCAGCAACAATTCACTTTAAAAAAGTATAACCGACTTCAATGCACCTATACATCATCATCAGCATCAAAAGCCTTTAATAGTCCACTGCTGGACATAGGCCTCTCCTTAGATAGGAGGTTTTGGTATAGACTTTGTATCAAGTTTTCCTTCTCTTTGCAGTGCTGTTATACCTATACATAACGACGAACTATTATAAACTGTATTCTTCATTTCTTAATTTATCACCTATACAGGTGGCATTTTTCTTCTTTAGAAAACGAGAAGTATGCCCATCCAAAAAAGGAAGATTCCAAATATGTTTATAAATGACAGTTCTGAAGTTACAAACAGAAAAAAATATACAAACGAAATTTAAACCTCCTTTTTTTTAAGTCCTTTAAAAAACGATTGTCAACGAAACATGACGTCACATTTTCACACAATGCGTTATACTTCTTAGTCTGCTTTGATATATCTGCGTACATTTTCTCATTTACGGTAAAACTTGTTTTGATAACAACGTAGCATTAACTTCAAGGTTGTGCTATTCTAAACGCTAAAGCATTTACTCTTTCCTTCTTTTCTGTGACACGTAACAAACACGACGTTTCTGTCTTTGCTCTTAATTACAAGGATTCTCAGAGAATGCTTATGTATTTTAGTTTCCTTTGAAACGATGGTCTTTCTTGTACAATTTCAAAGGAACGTCGCTTTCATGAGGATGAAGGAAGAATAGTGATCCTTCCGAATCGTGAACCGTGTGAACAGCTCTACAGGGCATAAGAGTCAAATAAGTATATTTGACTCATATAATGCCCTGTCAGGTAGCTGTTTACACGGTTTCCAGTTTCGGTAGAACAATGGCAGGACATTTTACTAGTATTTTGTTTAATATTTGAAACTCTAATACTAAATAGGTACTACCAAATTATCATTTAAAACCTCACCTGTCTTCTGACAACACTTGATCAAATTCTGATGAAGACACAAGAAACAGTATTGACGTTACTGAATCGAAGCATTGTGTCCACTTCTGTCGCTGCGTTCTCTGGCCTCCGACGTCGACGAACACAAATGGCACATTGTTTATGTTGATAGTGCACTCCGTAATGCCTTTGGTAGCCTTCCGGCAGTGCAGGATATCTTGGTGGGACGGCACGTAATCTGGTCGCGCAATACGTTCTAACTCGTCGAAGAAGTAACTCACGCTGTCGCTCTGAAAAGTGATAGAAATATTGATAAATAATTACTATTAATACATATGCGTGTCTAATAAATATGACAAGGCAAGAAGCGAATGTACAACTGATAATAGTATAGTAGAAAAACAACACTTTTTATTAATTAATTTCATAAACGGAAAACGAAAACTGGTGATGATGACAGGGAATTTCTGTATAGAAAAGTTAGTATACACTAAAAATCAAGTGTGATTTACTATTAAAATTGCAAATAAACATACGATCCACTTGATAACAGGCCTTGAAGTAGGCTAAAAGATGGGAGAGGAAAAAACCGAATAAACATAACAGTTGTTATATTCCATGATTCTATTGCACCTAAGTCGAATTTTATTAATGGATTTACTACCACCAAAACACTAAACCTTTGTCCACGACAAAACTTGACCGAAAGTGAAGGTAAAGGGTGACCGGTGTACGTGGAAAACTAAAGTTTAAACAAAGAGAAGACAAATTATCACTATCAAACGGGAAACAATGCCATTAATAGGATTTCATATCTATGAATTTCTTGACGTTTTTATCAGGTTGCGCTGGCCGTGACCACGGCCAGTAGTAAAACGACATAGCATGGAACGCTAAAGTTTAAAAGTCATATAAGAAGAGAAGTTTCTCATAGATTGTACTACACTTTTGATATGACGATGTGATAATATTTTATATTTACTATACAACCGGAAACACTGAGACTCAATGGACAAAACCAACAAGAGTAAAATGAGTGATTTTTAAGTAATGCAATTTTTAGTTTGATCAATTTCAATTAATATTGTTGATCATCAGCAACGCATCATCGATCATCGCAGTCTACAGCTGGAGATAAATCCTTTCCCATTGCACGCCACTTAGATCGATTTTGAGCTTCCCGCAGGCCAGGTGGAGTGACGATTTGCGCAAGATAGCTGGCAGGAGCTGGATGCGAGAAGCCCAAATATTGTTGATGATATTAAATAAGAAAACTACTGACTCTGGTTAGGTTTTCCAGTTTTTTTAAATAAAATGCTATCAATAACAGTATTAGAGTATAAAAAATAATATATCAGGCATTTAACCTTCGTTATCGCTTTGGATTGTGACTGACAGATGACAATTTAATATTTAGTCAAATCAATATATACTAGGATGGGCTTGTAGTATGCATAGTACACAATAATATACTGTGGACGAATATAAGGCAAACTTTACCAGTTCTTTTTTTACAACTGAAATCATTGAGTTAAAACAACACTAGAGAAGCAAACCTCATTATCACACGTCGAAAAAAGTGTAACCACTTTTGAACTTTGACGACGTAGCTTTGATACCACTAAACATTTGAAAGTAAACATATTTATGTCTCATTTACACGCGAGGCAACAGCAATACCATCGCTCGGATTAGAAAAAGACAAATACATAACTCTACGATGGTGGGCCAGTGTTGACTACCGTATGAAATTTTACCCATAACAACTAAGAAACAATTTTTATTTAAAACAATTTTGTAATAAAATAAATTAATTTAAATATTCTAAATAATATATTTCGAATTGAATAGAATAGGTATAAATAATAAAATAACTGGAAATATTTGGTTAAAAGGGTTTATATTCAGTGTAAAATCAAACTGCGCTGTGAAGCATCAGATTTGTATACAATTGTCTTTTAGACTCTTTTTTATAAGTTTGTGTGGATATTTTACTTTCATGATACAATCTTATTTTTACGTATGTAAAAATAATAGCATTTAATAATAAAAGTGAATGATCAACTTTACTGATAATAAATAATCCCCAGGGTGTATTGCAAATTCTATTATAATTTAAAAAACAAATAAAAAAAACTATTTTTTATTTTTTTTTATTTATATTTTATAAAAAAACTTATTTATATTTATTTACTTTTTTATTTTATATTTTTATGATAAACATTTTTTTTCTGTTTTTTTTTTGTACAATTATTATTTAAAATTGATAATAAATTAAGAAAATCAATGAATTAATTCTTTTGTACAAAAGTCTCCAGCACTGCGAGCTTGGCACTTCTGCCAAGCTCGCAGTGAACGTTCAACGGGTTCCTTAAAAAAAGTGATCGGTCCAGCCCTAACAACTACCGTTCTTCCTATATTTTATTATTATTGGCAAAATGTTTAAAAACAGTATAAAGCATATTATTTCATAAATTATAAATTCTCCCACTAATGTGGGAAAACCAAAATGATTTTTTAATGGTAACACTGATTCTAAATTACAATTATCAGTGTTTTATTTCAATTATAGCCTTATTTACGATATTATCAATACAAAAACCATAAACTTACACGTGAAAAGTAATTCCGCATGATTTATTAATGTTTTGTGACCTTGAATCGCATTCTTTCACTACGCATTTACCCATTTTGGCGACTGTTACTGTCATGTGTCGCTATGTTCAACTCGGTTGACGCCACATTGAACACTGAATTGACGTTTGCTACGCATATGCCTGTGGACAGATGTGCAGTAGCAACGATTTTAGGCTGTAATTACTCATCTATGTAAGTATTATATCAATGACTGAAATAAAATGCCTACACAAACGGACACCTTCATGGTAACTCTATGTAAATATAAATGTCACAAATATATTTTTTGTATTTTATTTAAAACTTAATGCGCATGTTGTATAAAGGCTGACTAAATGCCATGAGGCATTCTCTCCCAATCGACCTTCAGGTGATGTAGAAATATGATGCGGTAGGTGCAAAGATAAAGTATTAAATTTTTTGTACTTCATTATAGTTTGATAAATGAGAGATAAAACTACATGGGATAGGACTAATATACATAAATACATAAAAGTCAGGAAGTACACAATACTACACAACAACAACACATTATTGACGGCCGGATGGCGTAGTGGTTTGTGTAACGGACTGCTACGCCAAAAGTCGCGGGTTCGATTCCCGCTCAAGTAAAACATTTGTGCGCTTGAACATTTACTGTTTGATTTGGTCTGGGTGTTTCTATCTATAATATGTATGTATTTACAAAAAAAAAGTATATATGTATCTATATCAGATGTCTAGTACCCATAGTACAAGCTCTGCTTAGTTTGGGACCAGATGGCGTTGTGTGAATGTGGTAAAATATTATTATATAAACATACACATTCATAAATATTCTCAGGGTGCTTCAGCACATATGCGCTGTCTCGACCGGAGTTATACCACACATAATACCGGTGTTAAGTAATTCTTTTTTTTTGTTTTTGGTTTCCGAGTGAGTGAGGGTACCGGAGACTAAACCCTTACCTCCTTCTAATTATGGGGGGAAGCTATCGGAGGGTGACAACGCACATCACACTTGTGTCTCTTAAGTTCCAAGTATCCATGGACAGTGGACTACCTCCTCCTCCACTTACCATCAGGTAACCCGTCTACTTGATTGCTTCTTATACCATTAAAAAATTATCTAATATGGCTACAATGTCAACGAAGTTTAGCAAGGTGATAATTAAACCTGCCAATCATCATTATCATCATCTCAGCCGAAAGACGTCCACTGATGGACATGGGCCTCCTCGAAAGGTACGCAAAAACAACCGGTCCGGTACTGCCGGCTTCACACGTCTTCCCACCGGACTACCTTGTGGGAAGCCTACACACGCTGAGTTTTCCGGTACGCGGTCGCCATTCGAGAATTTCATGGCCCCATTGGCCATCGTTTCTGTAAGCAATAGCAACCTGCTAATGGCAGGATCTATTTACTAATAGTACAGATTGAACGCTAAATGTTATTTCTAGAACAAAAAATACCGGTACAAGTTAAACAAATATTAAATTACCATACACAAAATGTTAACGGTACAAATACTTGACAGTTGGGATATACAACTTTTACACGTCACGTCACGGTACAAATCGTGTTATTTGCGTTAAAATTACGTACATACAATGTATATGGCGCAGAGTTCCGCTGTGTATATGTATCACCGCGGTTACACTTTTAATAGATGATTTAGGTCAAACCAAAAAACGTAATGCCCTTATAAATCAATAATTCACTATTCGCTAATGGTTTATTATTTTCCATTGGATTTGAAACATTATTTTGATCTCCTCATACATTTTCCTTCGTTCTCTCTCTTTCTCTTTCTGATTCTGCATATTGAAGTACTCTCCATCTCATTTTGAGAACCCTATTCATCACAAACTAAGTTATTACCTTTGTTTTCTTGAATATTTGTTGATTGTTAAAAAGACTTCCAGGCGTCAGATAAATTTACTGTAATTAATAACTTTCCATTTATATTCGTGACATTACGATATCAAAAATATTCATAATTTTAATTATGAATACTAAAAATATACAAGAATAGACTAAATACGTGAGATATAGTGATATAATTGAATAATTAAAACCAAATTAGCTGACATCCTGGAGCAAGTCATTACGCAACTAAGACGTGCACGAGTATTTTAAACGATAACAATTTTTATGATTACTGTAACTACTTTCTTTAACTACTTGCCAGAATAGGGCTACCTAACTTTCATTTATTTACTTTTCCATAACGTAAAAAAATATTGAAATAAAATTAAAAGGCAAATATGTTAACTTTTAAAAATGTTCACACTTTGTAAAACCATATTTGTTGTCCTAGTTTTCTATGTACTAACCCGTCTGGCCAGAATGGTATAATAGGCCAAAACCTCCTTTCTAAGGGGAAGCCTATGTCCAGCAGCAGTGGTCTATTAAAGGCTGATGATAATGAAGTACAACTATCACATATTATTGAACCAACACGTTCACGTAACACGATTTTTAAAATGAGTTTATTGTCATTCACAATACATTAAATGACAAAGGATGCGATCCTAAAAAGACCCATACAATAAACGAAAACCGCAGTAATTGTAAAGATTTGAAATTACCAATGGTCATCAAAGGTTGACAGATGGTAGATCCGTTGTTTACCACCTTAGTGTACAAAAAAGTCCAAACACAAGTCTAAAT